TATCCTGTGTGCTGGGAAATAAGTAATTAGGAGGCTTCTCCTGTCAGTTCTGCTTCATGCATTAGCCCAGGAGTCTGCAGTTCCTGTCTGCTCAGAGCACACAAGAAGTAAACCCAGAGGCCTTACAGAAGAAAGCACACGGCTAGTGATGCAACTCAGTGTGAAATGATGCTGTTTGCTTATGAGAAGCTCACATCTTTCCTGGCACTTCTGAGGTAGTTTCTTTGCATATGTACTGTGAGGGTAGCTGTGGAGGGGAGGAGGGGAGGAAAGAGATCGTGAATGTAGTTTGAGGTGAGCAGACTCATATTTTTCGAATATGAATGCGGCAGTTTTGGCTTTGCTACCTCATTAGCCTGTAAGTACTGCAAAAAAAAGTATAATGTAGGATCAGAGAGAACCAAAAAGCCCAGGCTACTTCAGGTCTGTGGTTTACCTTGTGGTTTTGGAGACCAGGCTTTTTAGATGTTGAATGCCAATGAAGTGTAGAAGTGGCATGGACTCAAGTGGAACATGAGGGGTGGTAGTGAGACGTTTGGCATGGGGGACAATGACAAGCACACACTAAATCATCATCTGCATTAAGGACATGATCAGAGAGCGCCTGCATGCCCAGGGTACTCTGTAGGGTTTAAATGCCTGTGAGAGCAGTCTGCAATTACAACATGTCCCACCCCAAACACTGCAGAAAACCATATGCACTCTTAGGGCATGAACACACAGGGACGTGTGAATAGGTAGCTCAGCCATGTGGAGGAGCTAGGCACTGGCACCATGTAGTTATAATCATGAGCCTGGAAAGTAACTTGATCAGGAGAGAGCCTGAGCACGGACCCATGAGTGGGCAGTGGAGATTCTCCTTAGAAATTTGCTAGGCCAACACATTATCTTGCATCTTGGTGAAGCTCCCTGTCTGGCTGTTCTTACAACATACCTGCCATGAGTGTTTGCATCCTGTTGGTGCCTCCATGTTCCCACATTTTTGCTTTGTACCCTGAGATTTGATCACTGAGGTCCAGCAATGATGGTTTTTGCTGCAGAGTTTCACAGCAGCTTTGTCTGATGATAAAACATATCCCTGTCCTTCAGAGATCTCCTTATCTTCCTTGTAATGTAGCTAATCACTGATCTCTGCATGAGTTCTATGTTCCTCCTTGGCTATGGAAGAATGGGAAGGAAACAAAAACTTTGGCTCTAATTAGAGTAGTGTTTCAGGGGCCCAAATCAGTTTATTTCAACTTATCTATAGGAAGTGGAGTCAAGTCAATGCACCATAGGGTGGCAATCTGGGAGAAAACAGGTTGAAGGTATTTCCATGTCAGTGTGGGCAAGTGAGTCACCTGGGCCAGGCCATAGCTGTGCCTTCCAAAATGTGTCCAACAGAGGCTGAGCTGAATCAGAGAGGGAAACTGTTGGGTTTTGGTATGCCTCTTGGTTAAGAATGTGGTTTTCTGGGAGAGTGGCTGCAGTGCTCAGGCCTGCCCCCAGCTACAGCATTAAAACCAAGCTTCAGGATGCACCTCAGTCAAAGGTGGGGTGCTCTCTGGAGAGGTAAGGGTTGAACACAGGTGATGCTCTGAGGGGGAAGAAACACCTGCTTCTGGTGTGGAGTCAGCTGGGCACACAGTGAGCCAGCCCACTGATTACCCCAGCCTCAGGTCCTTGGAAGTGCAGGGCGTGCTTGTGGTGATATTTGGAACAGTCCTAGATATTGTTCCAAATTTTGGAGCAGGCTAGGGTGTGGATCTGGATATCTGCACCACAGTACTTTTGCAGCCCTGCTTCTCCATCCCCATTGTGGCAGTAGTGCTGCAGTGCCCTGCAGCTGCAGGCTAACTGCAGCAAGCTGTGCACCCTGTGCTCCCCAAAGCACCTGGAAACCAAATGGGTGAGGGCTTTGTTTCTGTTGTAAGTCAGTTTCTTTCCCATGGCCTCTGTAGCAGGTACTCCTGGTCTGTGCAGGCATCATGTGAGCTCCCTTTTAGGAAACATTTGTGTCCTTTTGCCATGTGCTAGCTTTTGCCCAAGGCCAGCCCCTTCCTTCCCTTTCAGCCTGAGCTAAGCTACATAATGCCAACACTCCAAAGGAACACCACTTCCAGCACCATTTCACCATTGTTTTGCAGTAGCAGCAAATAAAATATAAAATTTCTCCAACTACAGCATATTGTGTGGTACTGGAAATCATCTCGTTTTGACCAACTAACTAGAAAGAATAACTTGTGCTTTTGGTAAACAGTCTGATTGTCCCCAACAAAATAAGAGCACTTATCTATTACTTTCACTTCTGTTGTTGATCAGTAATGATAAATGCAGGAGGTCTGTAGGTTTAAAATATAGAAAAGAGCCATTATTGTCTGGGCTGTATAATGCGGTTCAGTGGTTTTGCACTGAGCTCACAATTTACTCCATAAAGTTTGTGTTTATTTACCCCAAGAGTCTGGGTTTTCTAAAAGAAACAGAAACTCTTCCACCTGTAATCAAACTGTACTTTGAGTCTCATCCCTTTTTATCTTCTCTTCCCTTTCCTTGCCCCTTTTGTTCAAAGGATGAGAAGAATCAGGTGTTGATCACAAATGCTTGGCTGCAGATGGTGAGTAACCTGTGTTAAATAAAGAAAAAAAACCCCTTTGTGATAGCAAATTACTGAATGTGACTTCTGAAAAGCAAGATTTCTGTCTTTTAACTTGTCTATAATGTGAAATAAGCAGGAATTTTGAGTCCTTTGAAATTTCTCTAGCGCTCCTTTTGGCATTGAAAATGAAATACAGGAGACTACATTAATCCTTTGGGCAGACCTGTTGACCTTTGGAGAATGAAACCAACTGCTTTGTTAGGCCAGTGGATGTAGGGACCTAGTAACAAAAAGACCAAAGTTAGGATCCCCATAGCTGAAGGAGAGATCCTTCAAGGGGCTCAAGGCTCTCTTCAAGGCCAGTGACGGGGACTTGTTGTGAAGGAACCAGACACCCAGTACGACCCAGGCACCCTCCACTCATGGCTTCTGGGAAAATCCCCACTTCTGTCTGAAATGGGAAGCCAGGGTGCCCCTGTGGAGGTCAGGGCACAAAGAACCTCAGCACTTGTCCCCAAACACAGAAGTGATGCAGCCATGCTGGACCATGTGCAGACTCCTCAGGCTGGGTGGTGGGGTGGCCATGGACCACAAGCAGCCTCATGCTGCATTGCTACTGGCATTGCCCATGCATGTCAGTGGGAGCATTGCCTTCCCTCATGCTTTACAAACCTCATCCACAAACATTCCTCCTCCCGCTTCTGCAGCTTGCTCCAGCTAAGTGACCTGCACCAGTCATGCAAGATAAGCAAAACTGATCCTCACTGAGGGCTTTGGGGAAGGGAGTTTCCTGTAAGGTCTGCTGCTGGCTGAGTATGGCAAGAGATATGGTCTTTTCTTAGGGTGCATAAACTGATCTTAATAGCTTGTGTTCAGTAAAGATGCAGCTTTGGAGGGAAAAGCCTGTGGGAGACTTGAATGATTGAACTAATTCTGCTTTGACTTTAGCAGTGAAACACTATCTCATGTTAATGAGTACAGCTGAACAGGCTGCTTCTTCCTCAGCTACCTGCTGGGATTTGCAGCAGAAACGAGTTGTTTTCTATAGCAAAAACTAACCCATACCAACCTATAAGACTACAGGATTGTTGAGACAGAGCCTGTCGGTCTCCTGTCCCTTGCAGAGGTGTTCTTCAGTTATAGCACCGATAACTGTTTCCCTTGCAGCCATCCCATAGAGCTTGGTTGCAAGTCACAAAGTTCAGCACAAAGGCTGTGCCTGACCCTTTCTTGAATTAACTATTTGTGCTGGGATGGAGGAGTGGGGATCAGAAACAACCCCTTGCGATATAAAATTCACCTGCCTACCTCTCATATCAAGGTGCTTATTAAAAGAATCACCCAACCTTTGTAACAGATTAAATTATTTCCACCAAAGAGGGACTCTCAGATCATGGTCCATGTACCACTGACAATACCCAAGTCATTCAAACCACCTCAGCTTGGAACCAGCATACCTCATGGAGGTGCCTACTGCCAGAGTTTCTGCCAGCCCACCAGAAAAGGTTTGGGATGCCTGGCTTCGGGCCACAAGGAGGAGAGGTTAGACACTAAATTAAAATACAGCTCACAGAATTCAGTTGTCACACTGTGGATTCCTCAGTATATATGCCCACCTTAATAATAAAAGTTGAGCATTAAACTATTATCATACTACTGCTATAGATACTGGCAAAGTCCATTCTGTTCCCATAATATTCCAGGAAACTTAGAAGACTTTTACTAGCTCATATAATCTGACGTATGTATTTGCCAACAGTACTGGTTTGATGTTTACTTGTCTTGGGATCAGTATGAATACCCAGGGGTGCTGAACTTGAGATTTCCAGCTGACCAGATCTGGGTACCAGACATTCTTCTGTATAACAGGTAAGCAAGATGCGCAACGGCCAGTGGGAGCCTAGAACTATAGCACTGGATACTGGAAATCAGCCATGCTTCACTGGTATTCTGGGGCTTTTGCCATCTGTGGATTTGGCTGTTACTCTTGAAACAGTAACAATAAAAATGAACAAGTGCCAGCTAATAGATTTTTCTAATAGCCAATCTAAATCTTCCTTGCTGTAGTTCTGCAGATGTCTTCTTTACCTTTTCCCAGTGAACACAGAGAGAAAACAATCCGTATTCTCCTTATAATTACCATGGCTCTCCTAGAAAATTATCATGTCTCTGTCATAGTATTCCTGTCTGAATGAAACAAACAGATTTTCTTCTCATCACTCATATTTTATAAATCTCTCCATCATTCGTCTTCTTCTCTGAACACTGTCTAATCTGTTTTTCTTTCTCCAGAGCTGAATCTAGCTCTCTAGCCAGCACTTCTGCAATGCTGAATGGAGTGGAAGCTCTCTAGACAGATGTTTCCTTAATGTTTTCCAGGAGGAGGGAATTTCGGTTTTGCTCTGACTAACATCTTAGTTTTGGAGTTACTTTTTGATCTATCACAAACCCCAGAAGTTGTACTTCAGCCTTGCTGTCATACTAAGTTTTCCCTGATCTATCTTTCTCTGACAGTTTTGGGGGTAATACTTTCTAATCATCCAGATTTAATTTCATTCTGTTGGTTCCCTAGTTCACCAAGACCCGTTTTCCATTCCAAGCCCTCACTACAAGATATCTGAAGGAGGCTTGGAGTGACCTGGATTGTTTAAGTGTCTTTTACTTCAGCTTTACTCCTCAAAGTCTCTTTATCCCTTTTGAGTCTTTAAAAAGGAGGCATATAGCCTGGTCCATATTACTGTAGTTTGTTTATAAGAACATGATGTGACATAGGCTTTCTGAAGTTCAGATATATCACCTGGCTCCTCTTATTCAGTTTTTCAGTAAGAAAATTAGATTGATTTGATGCAGTTGGCCCTTGACAAATCTGTGCCTGCTGTTTTCCCCTCATATCTTTGAAGTTAGCCTGATGTGTCTATAATTCCACCTTTAAAAAAAATAATAAAAATTGTCTTTGATCTTCCCTAATTCACTGAGCCCTTCCCTGTTCTTCAGGACCTCTCACAGATAATAGATAATACTTCATAGGGTATTTCAGACAGTCCCTTCAGTTCTCAAGACTAAATTTCATTAGATCTGCCAACTGGAATCTGTCTTTTCTACACTTCTTTAACCTCTTCCTGTCCTATTCTGCCCTGGACTACTGCCACTCTGTGAGAATTAACTGTGGAGAGGCACGGTTTGTGAAGAGTGCAGCACAGATGATGCAGGATATTATTTCCTTTCCTTCCACAGCAAGTAATGGATCTATATGGTCCTTTCCTTGTTTCCTTGCATTTATCAAAACCTTTCTTGCTGCCTTTTATGTCTTTAGATAGTTATCACTTATTCTGCACTTAGCCTTTTCAATTTTATCCTCTTTGTTTTGTGCTGGGGACAATCCTGAAGACTCAGATATTAATAAAAAGCAGGTCACAGGAGGGACTGAAATTTCCACATCTGGTTGTGAGACGGGGTGTGTAAGACAGTGTAGTCATGTGACATAGGCTTGTAGATAGCCATGACAGGCAAGGCCTACAGCATCAGCCAGGGGAACCCTCTGTAGTTAATGTCTTTCCAAGACACCTTCTGGAGCAAGTCCCCAGATCTGCTGCCTTGAAGAATTCTTGTCCTTGCCCAGCTCATTACTCTCTTATTTTTCTCAGAATTGCTGGAATCCTAAAGAAATTCTTTTTTTTTCTTCATCCCTTTCACCTAGTTCCTGCTCTTAGAGTCTCAATGAAACTTCTCCTACAAGACCCAAATCTAAAACTTCTCCCCAGTGCCTTCCTCCATTGCTTGAAGCAAATTCTTGGCCCCTCTGCCTCCTAAGAACCTTCAGAATTGTTGCCTCAGGACACCATTACTCTGACAACAGATATCTCGGTAATAGATAACTTGCTTTACACTGTGAGATGCCTGATTCTACCAACAGCCCCAGAAAAGCCAAATCTTCCTGATTGTCCAATCTTTGGATACAGCTACTGTGACACTTTTGCTCCTTTCACTTCTGCCTTTACTCTGAGACATCCAAGACCTCTGCCTCTCACTTCTTTGAGGACGTTACAGCATGCAACCAGCACGCCTGGGTGCAAGCCAACAGTGCCTATGAGAAGCCAAGGTACTGATTGAGGGTAGACTCTTCACCCGGGTGTAGGACCTTAATTCAGACATTCTGTGCATTAAATTCAACCAAAGGACTATTTTTGTGTTAGTTACTACATCTTAACTCAAACATCAGCTTGTTTTTTCTTTATTTTGCTTTGTTTATACTGTGTTATAGTGCGGATGAAAGATTTGATGCGACATTTCACACAAATGTGCTGGTGAATTACTCTGGATCCTGCCAATATATTCCTCCAGGTAGGGCACAGAGAACATTTGTTTGCTTTAAGTCAATGTGTAATTTTGAATAAGTACAAGCAGCTTTCCTTCATGAATGAAACCAAGGCGTTTAAGAAGCAGTCTGTGGAAATTTTGCAAGCTGTGTAATTATGGGACAGACCCACTGAAATAATTTAGGTCCGTTATTAGTGGTGTATTTACCACTTCACAAATCAATAAATCACTCTCCTAAGCAGTTTGCTTAGAACATTCAGAGGCCCAACTGAGGTGTCGTCAAAGCAAAGTGATATGCACTCTCACATCATGTTTCATGTGCCGTCCAATTAGCTCTTTCTTGAGAGTGGAGAGGCGTGTGACCAGAGGAGACCCGGAGAGCAGCACTCCCTCTGCAGTGAAGTCCTCCTTGCCAGGCTGAGGCTACAACTCTGGGTGAAAAGACAATCTGAGACTGGTCTCAGCCATCCAGACCTGAGTCTCAGCCTGCTTTCCATCTGTATTGTCAATTCAGGGCCTGTAGGGCCCAGCAGACAGGACCTACCAGTGAATACACAGACTATCCCCACATTTTCTCACTGTGGTGGACATAGCTGCTGGCTGACCAACCCCAAGCATGTCCACAGGGCCCACCAGGGACCAAGTGGGTCTTCCCTGATGGCTGGTCCTCTGTTGATCCCTACCCCTGAGACCCCTTGAAGCATGCCTATGGTTTCACTGGGACAGATCCATACATAAGATTGCTCTCCAGGGAGCAACATGAGACAGGAATAAAATTGATGTGTACCAGAGCAGACCCTTCTCCACCTCCATGCAGAGGGTGCCTGTATGGGCAGATCTGATGTCCTGCTCATGTCTTGGTGAGCTACAAACTCCATGATGAAGAATCGGTTACTTAAGAACTCAAGGAAAGAGTAAAGAGATAAAAAGTAATAATGGGAATCTGTTGCGTAAAGCACAGGAAATCCTTTGTTACAGGGATTTAACTGCTGCCAAACTACTTTGCAAAATTTTAGAAGGAAAAAGTTGATAATCAGCCTACTGACTAGCAACAAGTGCTCACAGAACCAGCTAGATTAATCAAGACGCTGGAAAACATTGAAGAGTGGAAAAGATGGTGTTTCCAAAGCTTCATGAAAGTTTTATTTCCCATGACTCTGAGAGCAGGCTGTACTCACTGCTGCTCTCCATTAAAGAAAAAAGGTAGGTGGAGGAGGAGAGAGAAAGGACAAGAAGGGGACAGCTGTCTGCTGTTAAGGAATGGAGCAGAGAAAAGACTCAGAAGAAATTGGGAGAAAAGCCTCCACGTAGCCCATCTGAAAATGGTCATGACAGTGGGAGTCAGACCTCCCAGAACATAAACAGACAAATGAAGGGAACCCAGCCACCCCAGAGGAGTGGTGTTTGTGCAGGGTCATGGTCTTGCACATATGGTTATGCCACAATGCGCTCAGCCTTCGCAGCAGCAGGCTAGCAGTAATCAAGGATCTCTGTTTCTGGGATTTTATCTTCAAAAGGCACAGCTCAAGAACTTACTGCAAAACACCAAACTCTGCTCAGTTAGGTGACTCAGAGCTGGGATTCACATTAGCTGGTGTTTTAGGGAGCACACAGAAACAATTACTGCAAACAGGAAAGCTAAGTGCAGAGTTGGAGATAATTTTCCAATGAAGCAGAAGCTGCCTGTCCTTCACACAATGCCTCTGAACTGGTCAGCATGCAGTAAGCCGAGCTAAGGCAAAGTCTGCAAAGCTGCAGGCCCACAGGGGTGAGGGTCTGCACGGATGACCTCTGTGCTTTGCCACCAGCTGCCAGTAATACAGACTGTGCAGATCATCTTCCTCACTCTCCAAGCACTCCATGCTGCTGGATGGCTGGGGTAGTCAATTATATTTTTTCCCTTATCTCAGCTGCATAACAAAAAAAAAAAAAAAGAAATAATTAGTTTGCAACAATATACAAGTATTAATCTCCTAAACTTCTTAAAATATCACATGAAATAATGATAATGGACTAGACACATCCAGAGTAAAATTCAACGCCCAGGTGAACACACAGAAGGTAAAGACCAGCCCTCAGCAAGGTTTGGCATAACAATGTATTTTCAAGGGACTGTGGTTCTAATGCAGGGTCTGACAAGGAACTCCTTTCAAAGAGCTTTTTGCAGTACTTGCAGCTGCAGTGTGTGGACATCTATGTACTCCATGCTCCTGTTAGGCCCTGCAGCACTGCCTGTGATCTGCTGGGGCCAGCCAGCACTAAGAGGCTGGGCTGCTCCTGCATTGCCCGAGTATCCCGGGCAACCTACTTCAAGGACGCAGTGAAAGAGAGAGGGGTCTTCACTGGTGCCCCAGGAAGGGAGGTTATTCCACTCATGGCAGCATCTTCCTCCTGTGCTACTTCTTTGGTTACCCCATGACTACATCATACAGACTTTTGGAGGAGAAAGTTGCTCACAGTCAATCGGACAGATAGGCGTAGAGATGAATTGCACCCTGCACATGCTTGATTCTGACTGATTTCTATCCACAGGCATTTTGAAGAGCACGTGTTACATTGATGTCCGCTGGTTCCCCTTTGATGTGCAGAAGTGTGATTTGAAGTTTGGCTCCTGGACTCACAGTGGCTGGTTGATTGACCTGCAGATGCTCGAGGCTGATATTTCCAACTACATCTCAAATGGAGAATGGGATTTAGTAGGTAAATTGGCTGGCCTAAAAATTTTCTGTAGCCTAATTTTCAAAGACAAACCCCAAATATACATAAATGATCAATCCCACCGGGACATGAAATATTAGATATTAGAAGTTTCTATGTAAGAGGCAGCAAAAGAAAAAGAAAAAAAAAATCACACATCAGAGAAAACCTTTCAGACGCATTCATTGAACTGTGTCTGAAAACACTGTTCTGAAACAATTGCCTGCAACTGAGAACATAAATGAAATCTACTGGTCCTGATGCATCTGAGCAGTTTGTCAGTACTAAACTTGGGTGTGTCTTATGTAGGTGCACAGAACACTACTGTGACATCTACTCTAGCACATCAGTCAAAAACTGATTGGTGTAAAAAACACTATTTCAGTAAAACTGGAATCAACTTTTACAGAGATGTATCTCTCTCACCGAGAAAACCATCAAAGTGTCTACCAGTTCATAATAACTGCAAATAACTGCAGTTCAGCATGTCTCTCTTCCTTCAGTGCTTTGGAAGATACTTAGATTTTTGAAAGAGGAATGTGCCCAGAGCTGGTTATTCAGAATGAGCTCCTAATGACTTATTTTGAACTTATTTATGTAGTTATAAGTAAGTCAGAAACAATGCTATGGAAATTGATAAAGCTTAGAACACTCTAAGGAGAGCTTGCAGAAGGAACAGTTCATCATCTAGTCTGGATATGTAGACAAGGAAATAACTGTCACTGACCAACTTCATGCAGTAGTTTTAGCATTCAGGGCATCTGAGAAATAACATAATCAGAAACACAGCCCTGACATAAGAAGACAAAGGACTTCATAGGGAAGTTGTCCTAAAGTCCATCCATTTCAGAGCACTTCTGACTTTCCAGTCCTCCTTTATAGTGATTATTTATGTCCAGTAACACTGTATATCTGATTAAGAGACTGGCCTGTGGTTTATCTGCCTTCAACCTTGACCAGGGGTGGACAAAACAGGCCCTTATCTAGCCCATATGGCAAAAGCATTAAGAAATGCCCCAGGAAAGCCATGGACATATTCTTTATGGAGAGTTTGCCTCACTTCTGCCAAAACATACACATTGTCACATCTTCTGTCATGTGCACAGAAATAAAAAAGGTGTGAGCAATGGTGGCATGAAAGATACAAGATGCTGAGTTCTTCCAGCTCCCCTGGTATTTCCTGTGTTCCTGTAGTCCCTGCTATGCAGCATCTCAGATAGTCTACTGCAGATGGGTCACCATGGCCAGACCTGCAATACATTTATATTGGACAACTCTGTCTCTTAACCTTCAGATATCACAGACTTTAAGCTTAACTTGACATCCCTTTTGAAAATTAAACCGTATCCTGTTTGTTTTTCCTAACAAAACAAACCAAATATCTATAAGAGAATGATAGAAAAATAAAAACTGGTGGCACTTGTCACACAGAAAATCCCCTGCATGGGCTAGCGAACATGATGTCAGCTGTTTGTCACCATTCCCTGGATGCAGAAAGGCAGAATGCACATTCTACTGAGTTAATCTTTGGCCACTGCTTGCAAATCTTTCCTTGTTGATGTTGGGATTCTCAGAACTGTTTTGATCTGGTCTAGCTTTCTTGGCTAAGCCCGGTTCTAATGACTCAGAAGGCATGAAAATAAACCCTAGGAAACACAGAAGGTGGACTAGGAAGAGCAGACATCTTGCACTGTTGCCTCAGATGTTGCTGAAGACATTGACACACTAAGAGTTACCTTGATTCATTTAACCCTGTAGAGATGTATTTCAGCTTTCAAACAACATTGAACCAAGCATATTGTCCTTGTCTCCTTTAATCTATTCATCCATGTGTGCATCACTGGCCACAAGTGTTAGAACATTACTTTCGCCTGGTAACTGATCTGTGAGTGTCTTTCTCCCTTATCAATTGCCACAGGACACTTAGAAGCACTCTTCAATGCACAATGTGTGGCAGAGGTGCCACTCATTGGCTCATAAACCATGAGTTCTTGGCCCATTCCAAAAGGATACCTGGGAGTCCTGCACCTCTCCGCACTGCCTGTCCTCCCTCTCTGTAGGTGTCCCAGGAAAGAGGAATGAAATGTACTATGAATGCTGTAAAGAGCCATACCCAGACGTGACATACACCATCACCATGCGCCGACGCACCCTCTACTATGGCTTGAACCTACTCATTCCCTGTGTTCTCATATCTGGCTTGGCACTGCTTGTTTTCCTTTTGCCAGCTGATTCAGGGGAGAAGATTTCTTTAGGTAAGTGCTAAAGAATTAATTTCTTTCATAAGCATTTCCTATAAGCTGGAAAATAAATACCTGATAGTGCTTGATGAGTAAAGATTTCCCTGGAGGAGCAGTAGAAACACTTGTTTCATTGCAGAAACCAGGGTAACAACTTTCTGTATTGCATTCACACACCTTGTGCTAAACAATTCTAAAATCATCTGGATTTTACCCTGATATGAGGCAAAACTAATCGTTGGCACAGGCAGCAGTGATAGTACTCTGTCGTCCCTGTTGTTCTGTTCTTCAGTACATCTCAATGGATTTCACAGCAGATTAACTCTGTTTTTCAGATAGGACATACTAAGACACAGAGAGTGAAGGGTTGTGAGCAGTAGCAGCAGCTGAGCATTGGATTTTCACCTTCCAAGTTCAGCTCCCAAACCACCAAGCCATGAGTCCCCCATGAATGCAAAGCAGTGACAGCCAAGGAAGGGCTAAATGAGATTTACTGTTGTGTGAGTCGATAAAGACAGGAGGAGTGCTTCCAAGAGAAGAAAGAGCAGAGATGGAAAAACACAAGACTGGCCCTGGCAAGACCTCAAGAGTTAATTGTGCACAATTCCAACCGGGACAGAGACCTTTAAATCACATAAAGTGCCCTCAGTGTTAGTAGAAGAATCAGGGATCTGAGCAACCTGTCTTACAAGAAGTAAAACACAGGCTATGAGGGATACAATTGCTGTCTATGAAAGATAGGATGGAGAGGAGGAAAAGAGTTATTTGAGCTGAAGGACAATGTTAACACAAAAATAGGAGATAATGTTCATGCATTGATGTTATGATTTCTCAGTACCAGGGCAGTTATGTTATGTTTAGCAACAGTCTGTTCAGATAGAACAAACAAAAAGTTTCTTTTAATACAGTCTACAGGTCTTTGGAGGGTGTTATATAATATGCAATAGCTAAAAACTAGACTCATGTCTGTGCAAGTCTCTCCTGGCCCTTAATAACCATCTGGGCTTTGTTTGCACTATGTTTTGGAAAAGTAATGTAGTTTACCAGTTCTGCAAGCTTCATTTCACTCGGCAGGAAAGATTTCTCCATTACTTTAAGAGGAGCAAGGGTTTGGGCATAATTGAGAAAAGTGAAAAAACAGCAGATAAAGTTGCATCTAAAAACGCTCTTACTTTGTGGAAGTTCTCATGTGCACTGATAGACATGAAGTCATGGATTTGGCTTAGCCATAATCAGGACAAGGTTATATTTAACAGCAAAGACATCAGAGAAGCAGCTGCCAGAGTTCATGTTCCTCATCCTTCCTCTGCATGTTCACTCCCTGCAGGTATCACTGTCCTGCTTTCCCTGACTGTATTCATGCTTCTTGTGGCTGAGATCATGCCTGCAACTTCTGACTCAGTGCCACTAATAGGTAAGTTTATTTTCCGTGCTCTGTGCACAATGTATGATGCTTCTCCAGAGTTGTTCAAACCCTATTTGACAGACTCTTTTTGTTACTATAGTTTTGCATTTCAGCAATGTCAGGAGAAAATCTCTGTCTGGGCTTTGCTGTTTGTGTATATGAAAAGAGTTTACATGAGGTATACAAAAAGGTTCTGGAAATATCAAATAAGCTGGTAACCGCAAGAATTTAGGGGACATAGAATCAACACACAAGGAGGTTTTGGGTAGGCAAAGTGTAAAGCCAACACTGCCAGTGCACAGGCACAAGTGGTATACTGGAATAGTACTCAGCTCTGGCTCTGGATCCATTGAGTTGGTCCATAAAGTCCCTTCAACAGCACTTTGGATGAAGCTGTGTGCACAGAGAGCATTTGAAGATCTCAGTGCTCCTGGCTGGAGAAAATTCATCTTTCTTCTTCCGCATCATCCACCTTTCCTGCTGTTATGCATCTCTTCCCTGCTTGCCCCCTTCCCCTCCTCTTCTCTCTACCCAGAGACCAAGTTAGGATACTACACTCAAAATTAAAACATAACACTGGAACATTTTTAACATATGCTGAAAACTAAGGGACAGATTATCATCTTGGGAACATGGGCAACACAAGCATTGTTATATCCTCTGTTTTCATATGACCATCGCTCTACCTCAGTTTCTCAACTGTGAACAGGAGAAAACATTATTCCCTGGCCTCATAACAGGGTAGGGAAAATAAACCTGTTCTGGTTCACAAAAGAAAGAAGTATGAACACCACAGGAAGATTCAGAACCTGTTTAATTATCATCTCCTGACCTAAGGTCTATCTTTGCATACAAATCATGACTACAGTGCACATTCCAGACAGTAAAAATAAACAAAATATTCAACAATGTATCTAGATGCTGATGGAAGTTGTATAGTTGTTATCACCATTGTATAATTAAAGCTTCGCACAAGTTATACCATGAATAGGACAAAAGAGCATTTACTCGGATGTCATTAACTCACTTCAAAGATTAAAACCTCAGACCTAACTCTGGGGAAGGAGGGTGGCTATGTGACTTTAAAAGCAACAATGCCCATAGGCAAGAGTTTCTGAAAGCCTCTAAATAACCCTCTAAATAACTTGGACACCTTACTGAAAGTCAGCAGAACTCTTGCCTCTGAGTCACACAGGAGCTTCCAAAAAACTAACAAAACATCTCTTGGAACATGTACCTAGAACTCCACAGAAGCAGATACAACTTTAAGAGAAATGCTATGTGTAGGGAGGGGACACAGGGCATCTTGTACCAGTCTTCACATAATTCTGCGTTGTGTAATACATAACAAAAGCTGTTTGAAATTAGTAAATAGATGGACTTGCCTATGCCCAGTCCACTAGTTTTAACCAGGCCAGCTTCTACTGATACAGTCCCCTATCATAGAAAGTAAGATTTATATCAAGAAAAGCTATGATAATTATACATTATTACAGATTTTGATGCTGTAATAACAGATTCATTTTTACTTATCACAACATAGATATGTGAACATCACATATCAGTGGTGTTGGGGAACCCTACTGCATCAAGTCCCCATTCTCCAGGTGGATATTGGCTCAACTATTATGATCTCTTACATCTTTTCACTCTTTTTGTATCACAAATTCAAGGACATGATAATGGACTCTCTTCACATGACTATGTCTTGTTGACATGTATTGTTGCAAGTATTTTCCTAATGCCCAAATAATTAGAGCATATCAAATGTATTAGAAACACACCTCTCAAAGTTGTCATGTAGGTCAAACAGAGTCTAGTTGTTTCATCTGTTCATTAGACAAATTTTGTATTGTGAAACACTGTAAAAGAATAATCCTTGCATATGGATGCACATCCTTGCACCCTGGAGACTGAGGTGAGGTATCCAGATGAAGGATGTCTAAAACAATCCTGTGACTACTGTCATCTGGTTCCTCCCTGTTACAGCCCAAAAGCAAACTGGAACTTGACACACTGGGGTGCACTCAGGCTGCATGGTTTGAAATTTGACCATTCCCATGCAATGGAAGCTTTTTTTTCATAGGATCATGAGAGAGTTCAGGTTGGAAAGGACCTCAGGAAGTGGAAGACTGTGTCAAAAGTCTTACTAAAGTTGATGTAAATGACATCTGCTGTTCTCCCCGTGTCTGCAAATATTGTCTATTTTATTATAGAAGGCAATAATGTTGGTCAGACGTGATTTATCCTTGATAAATGCAGGCTGGCTGTTCCCAGTGCCCACCTTCTCCCTCAAGTGTCCAGGAATGTTACCCAAGGACTCACTCACTGATTTATCCAGCAGCCAAAGTCAGAATGACAGGACTGTAGTTCTGTGGATTGTCCTTCTGGACTTTTTTGAAGATGGGTGCAACATCTATCTTTCTCCAGTTGTCAGAGAACTTGCCCCATCTCTGTGGCCTTGCAATGATACCCTTAGGTACTCTTGGTAACACCTATCTGGTTCCATGGACTTGGGCAGGTTCAGTTCTCACAATCAATTCCTGAATCCATCCTCATCCATTGCTGGTTGTTTCCCTCATCCTTGAACCATATCGCAAAGCACAGAGACATATGCTAGGAGACCTTGATAGGAGACCTTGCTGGCAAAAGCTGGGGCAAAGTAGACGCTGCCTTGGCCTTAGCTCCGTCCACTGTCACTAAATCATCCTCCCCGTTCAGCAGCAAACTCATTTTCCTTGTTCAGCTTTTTACTGTTTGTGTAGTGCTAGAAACTCTTATTGTTGCTCTTGACTCCTTTGGCTGTCTCAGTTCCTGAGCTTTATCATTCCTAACATCAACCCTAATGCTCAGGCAACGCTTCTAAATTTTCCTTCTTCTGCACTGGAGCTTCGCCATGAGTTCCTGGCTTAGCCACACTTTTCACCTGATGTGTTTGTTTTGTTCTCTAAGTAATAGAAGGGACTTTTCTTGCACTTGGAGGCTGCTATACTTTAAGCCCTCACAGTTTTCTTGTGCTGCTTTATCTTTCAGGGCTTTCCCCAGTGGGATGCCAGCTACTAGTTTCCTGAAAAATTAGAAGTCTGTTCACCTGAAGTCCAAGTTCTATACCCTACTGTTCTCATTCCTTACTCCCTTCATGGTCTTGAACCCCACTGTTTCATAATAACTACAGGCTAGGCTTCCATTATCATGCTCCCAACCAGTTCTTCCTTATTAATGCAGAGCAGAACTAGCTGTGCACTACCACAGTACAGTTGGTCTGTCCTGTATTTGTATTATCGCTAACAACCTTGAGAAATCTTCTTGACTGTTTGCATTACACCGTATTTCCTTTTCAGCAGACATCAGGGAGGTCCAAGTCCCCTGTGAAAAGAAGGATCTGTGATAGAGAGGCTTCCCTGGGTTACTTTAAGAGGACCCCACCCTCATATCCACTGTGTTTTGGTGGTCTATAATGCACTCTCACCGCAGCAGAACTCTCATTGGCCTCTTCACTGATATGACTCATAAGCTCTCCAGCAGCTCTCATCCACCCCATAGAGGAGCCCCTCACATCCAAGTGGCTCATTCACATAGAGGGCAACCCATGTTGTCTTGGTTGTCTGTCCACCCTGAAGGGCTCGTACTTATGCATCAAAGCATTCCAGTAGTGAGACATGTCCCTCCACATGTCAGTTATCCCAGAAACATTATTGTTTCATGACCACATGCAGAGTTCCAGTTGCTCCTGCTATTTCCCAGACTTCATGCATTTGCTCACTCTGGAGGTGAGACCCTCCACCTTGTTTCACCATTTCTGAGGACTTTTGTGCTCTGACCACCATTTTCTTTCCACCCTTGACCACTGTTTCTCCATATAAATCTGAGTCGTAATTTCCCACAGTATTCCTAGTTTAAAACCCTGCTACTAACTCCTTGCTCCACTCCAAATAGGCAGAGAAAGACTGCTCACTCATTTGCCTTCTGCACCCAAACAGCTCTTGTTCAGAAAGTGCTCGAGGCTGGGCTGTGTGATTTTACAGTATCTTGAGCTCTGAAAGTCTTATCCTTACTCTAACAGGGTAGCACAGCATAGTCTCTCCACAGTGATCTTATATGTGATCCCAAATGGAACATTTTAGCTGCTGAACTGGATATACCTGGTCATGATCACAGTCATTCAGTGTGATCTCTGGTCCAGTTGAAAATCCTTAGGAATGAGTGTGAGGAAAGGGAGGACACTTGGGCAGATTGTTCAATTTTTGGAGAATCAGCACAGTTAGCACTAGGTTACAGGAATAAACAAATCTAAAGCATGTGGTTGGGGAAGCATACAAGTAATTTGATCTTGAATTAGAAAGATCCACTGCAGAAAAGCCACTATCACTGGTCTTCATGAATGTGGGAGCAACAATTCTCTGAAAATGTGACCCCACGCAGTTTTAAAATCTGCATTATATTATTAAGGTCTGGGTTTTTAAAATCAAACATGTATCCACACCTACCTGGACCCAGATGAACACTCCCAGCCTTTGCCAGCACAAAAACACTAGGGCTTATCATAATGTACCTCTTACTTTTCTCCGTCTTCTGACCTCAGCTTTAACTACTTGAGTGTAATAACATGGGGAATTCTCACAGCTACTGTTTAGATAGCCTTTGTTGAGGGAGCAAAGGTATGCTGGTCTAATATGACACCAAGAAAAGAGCTGGCTTCTGAGGTCTGGTATATTTGCAAAGAAATATGGAAATCATATCCCAATTCTTCTTACTTGAGGCCACTCCCCCTTGACCTCAACTTACATTTACAGTAAATGAAGTGCCTCTCAGCCTAAATAATCACAAGGAGGCAGGTGAGGCAAGACACTTGCTTTTTTCTACCTCTCTGCAAAGTGGGTCCCCCATTCCTTGGTATGTCCTCTGCATTGTCTGTTCGTAAAGCAGCCCAGGCCAGAAACTTTCTTACTCCACGTGGGAGACTTCCCAACACGATGAACTCCCATTTCTACATAGCCTGCTATGTTAAT